ACCAATAGCAGAGTTGCATCCAAGGTCCCATATCTCGAGACTCCCTCTGCTCAGTCTTCTTGGCCTTTGGCCAACTCTTAATTGCCTCTGTGGGAAGCTGCAGGTAGGCAAAATCCCAACAGTTTTTATGTTGATGTTTATTAGGGTGGTTTGCGTGTCGAGGTCCCCAAGCCATGCCCCAAATAACTCACAACGCACACTTAATTTTTGTTTAAGGTTTTTGGCATAATTTTGGCCACAACTTTATTTAAATACAAAACCATGAGTGGTTGTTTAGGCATTGGTTAAGACTATCTGTCCCCCCGCCCGGGGACAGAACTGACTTCCGGGCACCACCGAAAGACAGTGCGGGGGAAAGCAGTCGGGGAGAAATGGAGCTGAGTCACAGACCCTCAATTCTCATCGAAGGCTTGCCGGCCCTAGTCCCATTCCAGGGATTGGACGAAAAGATGGCAAGCCCCAGGATTCCTTTAACGGAATTCCCTTTCTGCAGCAACCATGGAGGGGCAGGCCCAGCCTATCCTAACCCCTCCTCCACCAATTTATAACCAATGCCTAACTGCAACCTTACAAGTTGTGACGATTTGCTACGCAGTAGGCAAAAACCAAATGGCCCAGCCAATCAGCCAGATGGACAAAATTCCTACCAGGCCCCTGCCCCAACGGCAGACGACCCCATGACAGGCATAGCAAGGTCAATGCAGCAACCCCTTACTCAAGGGCGGGTGGGCGGGTGATCCGTTGCACGCAGCAAAGAGAAGCTCCAGGCTGCGTGCAGAGTATTTAAACATTTTACCCCTCCCACCAAAATTGCAACATAACTTTTACCCCAGCAACCCAGTGAACCAATCACTGCCCCAGGCCATCTTTAGAGACCCTGCCTGGTAACAGAGGGCTGGCTCAGCAGACCCCACCGCAACACGTGCTCTCCATGAAGGAGAACACGCTATATAAATTCAATAAGTAATAAAATAATAATAATAATAATTAAGGTACCTTGGGCCTGAGTTGTTCAGGGCTTTGGATATCACCACTCCTTGTTGTTGTTGTTGTTTAGTCGTTTAGTCGTTTACTCTTCGTGACCCCATAGACCATCACCACTCCTTAATGTGATGCAAATCTTAAAAAATGTAGTATAAACACTGACAACTGGGAAACACTGGCCTGTGAGTGCTCCAGTTGGAGAACAGCCTATACCAAAGGTGTCATGGGCTTTGAAGACGCTCAAACTCAGGACGAAAGGAAGAAGCATGTTAAGAGGAAGGCACGCTTGGCAAACCCTCACCGTGATCAACTCCCACCTGGAAACCTATGTCCCCAGGGCCCATGCATCTTGCAGGAGTGCTTCTTCCAATACCAACCCACTAGAAGAGGAGGAGAGCTCTGCTTGTAGTTCCCATGAGAACTGGATTGGGTGGAGAACTTCTGATTGGGCTTTTACTCCCCTCAGAGTAGCAACTGTCCTCTTCATTGTTGGGATTTATATATCAGCTAAAGACATTTCTGTTTACTCAGGTCTTTTCAGACTGATATGTCAATGTTTACTCTGAAACGGCAGAATGTGGACTGCGTTTTTAATGACTATTATAAATATTTTAGGTTTGCATTTGTTTTAATCATTTTAATCACTGATCTAATTTTCTTGTCTGTTCTCCATTTCAGCTATGTTCGGGAAAGAACGATGCATAAATACAATAAATAAATGATATAAATATGTATTTAGGGATGTAATTTGAAAGTTGTTGTTGTTGTTGTTGTTTTAAAAAAAGAAAATGTGCTCATTAATGCAGAAAGGGATTTGAATTCAAAGGAAAGTGGCATAGACAGGAAATAGATTTCCCATCCTGGATGAAAATCACCAGAGGCTCACAAAGCCTGCATTTTTAGGTGAGAAACTCAAATTTGCTAATAGTCCCAGGTAGGATCTTTGGCTATGTAAACCAAGAACAAAATTGTGCTAAAATAACTACAGTAGCCAACTAAGATTTTTCAGATCCGGCCATTTTGTTTAGAATATATAGCTTGAAATTTCTCAGATTATTTTGCAGGCTATGCCAACAACAACAACCCCCCCCCCGAAGATTTTCATCCTCAAATTGACCATCAATAATTAAAAACTTGGCTTCAGAGGCAATTTCTTGATTCAATTTCTTTGCTCCTAATGAATAAAGGAGAATGGAGGGCTGCAAAGAATTGCTGCCCAGCAGATCCCTAAGACAACAAAGTGGGAAATGGAATCTCAATTTATGTGATCCCTAAACTTTTGCATATTTAATCTACTTCCCCGCTCAACAAGTCATTTAACTTTAATTTAAACATGGGGTGTATTTTCAGGGCACGGATGCCTCAGAGAAGCCTCAAGCTATGTTTAGTCACAATTTTATGAAAAATATAAAATGTCATCAAGTATCTGCTTTATTTGCTTTTATTTCCATCTATATCCATGTGCACCTACATCTATTGGTGTGAGGAACTGGACATCGGAGGAGGAATGGTGGAGACAGCTCCCCTCCTTCTCCTGAACTTTCCCAAGAACTGGAGGGCAGTATAGAATTGCAACAGTGGTTCTCACACTGAAACTCACCTACAGGTGGTACCTAACACCAAGGAAACTAGCGCTAATACACCCAGGAACCTCACCAAAATGCTGGAGAGGGTGCACCTCCACAGGCACATACCTCCACATGTGGTGGGAGTGTCCCAAAATCCAACTATTCTGGACAACAGCCATACAAGAAATATGTAAAATAACTAAGCAAGTAATAGACATCACCCCAGAATTGGCCCTACTAAACATCTTCCAAGACAACAATGCCCATTTACACCACAAAGAACTCATAACCCACCTGCTCTCAGCAGCCAGAAACACCATAACCAGACACTGGAGAGACCTGTCAGGAGTAAGCATGGACCAATGGTACCAAATAGTATGGGAAACAGCCCTACTAGAAAAATTAACTAATAAACTGAAACTGACACGGGGACAAACAGAAGAAGACGCCTTCACCACGGTATGGCTCCCCTTTATCACATACACAGCCCAACAGGACAATGACAATAATCCACCAACAGCATACAAATCAATATGGCTAACCTGATCCAAAATACCCACCCACCTCACTCACACACGAAAACAAAGATCACCACAGCCAATCACAAGCAAACAATCACACCCTAGGCCAACCCCAACCTCTCTCACCACCAAAGGAACACAAGTGAACAACACAAGCAATGCTGACACCAAACTCTACATACATTAAACATAATAGAAACACCGCCACCCAACCCCACCCCCATCCATCTTCCCTCTCTCCACCCCCTTCTTTTTTCTTTTCTTTTTTTCTTCTCCCCCTAATGCCTCAACAAATGAAACGGATTTGTAAAAATGTTACATGGGGAAAAAAAATACGAGGCACTACACTTCTGTAAAACAAGAAAATCCTTAATAAAATATTTAAAATAAATAAATAAATAAATAAATAAAACAGTGGTTTGCTGAAGATCCTGACTCTAAGAAAGAAGAGGGGAAAGCTGGGAAATAATGGAAGGGGAGGGGGGAACAGCAGAGCTGGCTGACACATTATCATTAAAAAGCATTCCTGACCCCCATTCTCCTAGGACATTGAGAGTAGTAGAACAGGAAGCTCAGAGGCAGAGAACACAGATCAGCTGGTGCAGGGATGATGTAGAATAGGAGAGACGGAGGGGGTAGGACTTTACTCAGAGCAACACCATTACAGTGGTACCTCGGGTTAAGAACTTAATTCGTTCTGGAGGTCCTTTCTTAACCTGAAACTGTTCTTAACCTAAGGTACCACTTTAGCTAATGGGGCCTCCCGCTGCCACCACGCCGCCGCTGCACAATTTCTGTTCTCATCCTGAAGCAAAGTTCTTAACCCGAGGTACTATTTCTGGGTTAGCGAAGTCTGTAACCTGAAGCGTCCATAACCTGAAGCGTCTGTAACCCGAGGTACCACTAAATCTAGGAGAGACGGCATTTCTGTGTTCTCTCTCTGTAAATATTGAGTAAAAGACTTGGTAAGAGCTCTTCTTTTTTATCTGCTTCTTGGCTGCCACCGTGGAAGGTTTTTAAATGTTTATTTAAATTCTGCCAATGACTCCATTTTGGGGGGTGTTTCTGCAAATATATTGTAAAAGGTTCCCATTCTTTTTCAAAGTCCCTGTTGTCACTGCCTGAGTCATTCCAGAAGAGCCAGAAGCCAGGGACACCAATAGGTGGAGCCCGAGTTATTAAAAGACAGAGGCCATTCATTTTCGTTTTGTCCCTGTCCTCCTCCTTGCTCAGGTCTACAAGGGCAGCACTGAGACAGGATAATGAGTTTATACTGTTAATTAATGTTGCCATTATTATTATTATTATTATTATTATTATTATTATTCTATACCACTTTTCTTTTACAAAAATAAATGCCAGTTTAGATCACCGTATAATAAAGCACAACACTGCCCAATATAATCAACAATTACTAGTAAAATTATCAAAATGTCCAAGGACACCTGTATTAATTACAGTGGTACCTCGGTTTATGAACTTAATCCGTTCCGGAAGTCCGTTCTTAAACCAAAATCATTCTTAAACCAAAACGTGCTTTCCCTAATGAGGTCTCCCGCTGCCAGTGCCCTTCCACCGTTCAGATTCCATTCTTAGACCAAGATAAAGTTCTCAAACCAAGACACTATTTCCAGTTTTGCGGAGTTTGTAAACCAAATCATTCTTAAGCCGGACTGTTCTTATAACGAGGTACCACTGTATATCAATGAGCAGAGTAAACAGATATGTATTAAGCTGGATGTGTGCTGTTGCTACTAGTATTACTTCTACTACATCGTATTTATATTGTGCCTTCAGTGATTTCAGCTCTCTGTATAACCTAAAAGTGCCATGTTCATTATCCAGAAGTCTTGCAAGTAGATAATCAACTAGTCACCTATGTTAAACAGGAATTTCCTCCAAGTGACAAGTTGTTATTGTAGCATTAATGGCTAACGGAGGTGGGGCAAAGTGAGTTGGTTCAATTTTGAACTTCTCTGGAAGTATAGCTTAGAATCGACTTTTATAAATGACATCTTAAATGAATGGTTTCATGACATGGGTTTCAGTGATTTATAACCTACTGTATACAATGTTTGTGTGTGTGTGTGTATTTGCAGTACATGAATGGCAGGCTTCATCTTGACCTGAATGCTTTCATCGTAGACTCTGAAAAGACCTCCATGCCTACAGTTGATCATGGGGAGGGAATGTTGAAAAACCATGGAAAAGCTCTTTTTCACATCCTACTGACAAAGGACCACACATCAGTTGGGGGCAGAATTTCCTGCCACAATGCCACGCCTCTTATCACATTAATTGGATTCACAAAGAAAATACTAAAAGGACTTGTATCTCAGTAAGTAAAACTTTTAAGATGCTGGAGCTATGTGGCACATTTTGCTAAATATAAGAAATATGAGAGGGGGAGAAATGGCTATTTCCAAATGTCTGAAAATCTGGAAGAGAAGATATAAACCCTTGACCTGACATGAGAGTATAATTGCTTGTTACCATAGCAACAAAGCTCCACAGACATTCTTAACAACTATTCTCATTGGACAGAAAAGCCAGGTGCTTTATATGGTATAAATATTTTTAGACTGCAATCTTACATAGACTTACCTGGGAATAATGCTATTAGACTAAGTGGGGCTAATGTCTGAGGTGTGGTAAAGCCTCTTTCTTGTTATTTTAATATGATACCTTGCAACAATGGATTTAAATAGGCACATGGGAGGGGCAGGTGCTCATCCGTCCTCCTAAACTCTTGAGTCACTGCTACTTCAGACCCTCCAAGTATCCCTATTTTCCAGGGACAGTCCCGGATTTACAGAAGCTATCTCAGTTTCTGATTTGAGTCCGGAATGTCCTGCTTTTCCTTAGGATGTCCGTATTTTCATTGGATAAATGTTGGAGGGTATGGAGTTATGCAATCCCTGAGCCAAGGAGATAAGTAACTATTCAAGCTTTAGACGACATCTGAAGGCAGCCCTGTATAGGGAAGTTTAGTAATGTTTAATGTTTTATTATGTTTTTATATATGATGGAAGCCGCCCAGAGTGGCTAGGGCAACCCAGTCAGACAGGCAGGGTAGATATAGATATAGATATAGATGATATAGATATAGATAGATATAGATATAGATATAGATATAGATATAGATATAGATATAGATATAGATATAGATGTAGATATAGATATAGATATAGATATAGATGATGATATAGATATAGATATAGATATAGATATAGATGATATAGATATAGATATAGATGATGATATAGATATAGATATAGATATATTATTGCTATTATTATGGAATAAGGTAAAGGGACCCCTGACCATTAGGTCCAGTTGTGGCCGACTCTGGGGTTGCGGCGCTTATCTCGCTTTATTGGCCGAGGGAGCCAGTGTACAGCTTCCAGGTCATGTGGCCAGCATGACTAAGCCGCTTCTGGCGAACCAGAGCAGCGCACGGAAATGCCGTTTACCTTCCCGCCAGAGCAGTACCTATTTATCTACTTGCACTTTGACATGCTTTCGAAATGCTAGGTTGGCAGGAGCTGGGACTGAGCAACGGGAGCTCCTGTACGGATCACGTTCGCAACCCGAGCGTCCACTATATTGCTATTGTCAAAGATCTTACTATCCCCAATTTAAAGTTAAAGGTACCCCTGACTGTTAGGACCAGTCGCGGACAACTCTGGGGTTGTGGTGCTCATCTCACTTTACTGGCCGAGGGAGCCAGTGTACAGCTTCCAGGTCATGTGGCCAGCATAAATAAGCTGCTTCTGGTGAACCAGAGCAGTGCACGGAAAAGCCATTTATTTTCCCACCGGAGCGGTACCTATTTATCTACTTGCACTTTGACGTGCTTTCGAAATGCTAGGTTGGCAGGAGCTGGGACTGAGCAACGGGAGCTCATTCTGTCACAGGGATTCGAACCGCCAACCTTTTGATCGGCAAGTCCTAGGCTCTGTGGTTTAACCCACAGTGCCACCCGCGTCATTGGAGAAAAGTTGGAGGGTATGTTGCTTACCAGGAAGGAGAGGAGCAAGATCTCAGGGAGATCAGCATAGTGCAAACACACCAGCAGAGCCAAGCTGGTGTTTCTGCTAGCGTGTTTGCACCACACTGACCTCTTCGCCACCTTGATGCTCCTGCTCTCCTTCTCAACAAGCAACATCAACTCGGCAGGTGAGTGCCAGCATGCAGCATATGTAAGTAGGGACATGTGTTTTCAAAGTGCAGGGGTAGATAGACATGCCACAAAGTTGGGACATTGTCAGCAGAGTCACCAGTTCCATGAAGCTACTCAGCATGGCAGCTGTAAAACATAGGGAAGAAATCTTCTTGAAATATCCTCAGAGCCAAGTAGTAATTTCATGCTCTTTATTTCAGCTCATAGGAACAGTGATTGAATTCCCCCCCCCCGAACCTCAGGCTTTATATACATTATTTACACAATGAGAACCGACTGATTGGTTGATTATGTTTCCCTCCTGGAGCCTGATTGGGCTGCTACTGCAGGCCAATCAGTTGTTGCATCCTAGTATCCTACCGACCTAATAGGCTGATTAACTTCCTCCTGGGGTCTGATTGGGCTCCTCCTGCAGGCCAATCAGGTTGTAGCATTCTACATGTCTACTCCCATGTACTTCCAGGATACTGGGTGCAGGACTGCAGTTTCTAATTTTTTTAAATATGTAACGCCGGAGTCAGAAGAAATATGCCCTCAAGAGGTTGCAGAACTACAACTCCCAACATCCCTGTCATTGGTTGTACTGATTGAAGCTGATGGGACTGGATGTCCAGCAATATCTGGAGGGCACCACATTGCTTATCTGTGATATTTCTCCTTAGGCACCAAGCAGATTTTAAAAATACATTTCCAAAAAGTTATTTGAGGCAGAAAGTTGAGTCCTAGCAATATGGATTATAGGGAGAGAGGGTGCTCTTGTGAATGTTCTTTTGTATGACTGTCTGGTGTCAAATATTTTATGGAGAGAAGTAGAAAATATCAGATTGTAAGGCTTTCAGAGCACATATTGTCTGCACAAAAAACCCCCCCGTATATTGTGAATGCAGATATAGGTCTTGAGATAGCCACCATTTAATTTTTCTCTCTCCCAGTATCAGGTACTATTGAAGCAGTAGAATGCACCTCATAATGATTTCTGAGGCACACTGAACATATTTTGTTAGTGAATGGAATTCTATGGAGTATTTCCAAAGGGTCATTGCACAACTCTGGGGGCATAAAAAATACAATTTAAACTTCTTCTTTTTTAAAAAAGAGAGAGTCTATAAATGAATAGGAATGTTTGAAAGCGGGGAAAGAACTGGAAAAGAAAAGACTTGCCGGGGGGGGGGGGGAGCTTTCAGCATCAGCTCTAGACAAGAATACAAAAAAGTATTTTGAGAAAAAACATGGAACATGGGGAAAATATCAAAATTGAAGAGAGCAGAGATTCAATAATACAGAAAGGCTAGATATGTTTCTGGAAAAGGGGACCTTCTGGTTCCAACTGAAGTAAATATAATACTTGAGAAACAGGCATCTGTGTGATGTTTAAATACTTATATCAATGCATATTTTTGTTAACTTTTTTGTATGCCAATATAGGGAAAAAATCTTGTAGGGAAATTCAATAAATAGTTCAAAAAGACTCTCACTAAAAAGCACAATCTAAATCATTGCTGTGCTACATCACTGTTGGACAACTGTTTAAATGAATACAGCCTCTTGTGCACTGACACTGTTGCTCCCCGCCCCCCATCCACAAAAGCTAAACACAAAATCTGCTGCTTCTTTTGTACATGGGTAGTGGATAATCTAGTTTTTGCTGGAAACTGAACTGTAGCAGAACAGAAAGAGCGCTGCATGGGATGAACACAGGTCAGAATAGGAATTGATGCCTTCTTCCAGAAGACATCTGAAGGCAGCCCTGTTTAGGGACACTTTTAATATTTGAATTATTGTATTTTAATACTTTGCTGGAAGCTGCCCTGGGTGGCTGGGAAAACCCAGCCAGATGTGTGGGCTATAAATAAATTATTATTATTATTATTATTACTATTATCATTATTATTATTATTATCATTATTATCATCATCATCTGAAATCAGTCTGAAATTTTCCATTTATGGGCTTCTCTGCAAGTAGCTTCCTGCAGTTCTGAGTGTGGTAGGGGCCACCATAGTGGCTAAGACCACCCCATTAAAAAAGGCCAGTAGAGACTGGCAGATTGTCACCTCCAATGTATCCTAATCCTCTCCAGTGGTATGGATTGGGGGGATCAGTTTCACACCGTGATTTACAGAAACATCATGTAATGTTCCCTTATGGCAAATCAGAAATAGTTGTGATGTTCATATGCGTCTCATAACATGCAAAATGGCAATCTTGATTGAGTCATTGTCCTGTTTATTACAGTGGTTTAGTGATGTAATTGCCACACACTTTAATCTGCTTCCTATTACAGAAGACTAGGATGACACCTACTGTTTCACTGTTTGGACTATATTTTACTTAACATTGAATTAACAGGGCTTTTTATTAAATAACAGACTTAAATATCAGCGCTGTCCACTTTTTATATGAAAGTGAGATCCTAAATGCTAAAAGACGTCAAATGGACAATATTTTCTCCCTGGTGCATAACATACGAATTCAGGAGACAAATTCTGAAGATGGAAAGAAGTTAATGGATTTGCATCCTGAACAGCTTGGGTTTTCAGAACATGAGTACAGCTGTTTTCTAATCGTTCCATGCAGACTTGGCATTTCTTTGCAGCTATCTCTGTCATCCTTGAAAAATCAACTCTCTTGGGCAAAAGTGAGTGTGAAATTATCTGCTGCCAAAGCAGATGCCAATAGAGCCATGTACCAAGCCATGAACCAAGGCTATGAATGTGAAAGTGGCTTGATTTGCTCATGCAGTGGTTATTTTGATGATGCCTAAAGCTTCGGGCGGGAAGGTAAACGCCGTTTCTGTGCGCTGCTCTGGTTTGCCAGAAGCGGCTTAGTCAGGCTGCCCACATGACCTGGAAGCTGTACGCCGGCTCCCTCGGCCAGTAAAGCGAGATGAGCACCGCAACCCCAGAGTCGTCCACGCCCAGACCTAACGGTCAGGGGTCCCTTTACCTTTAAAGCTTTATTATGGCGAAAAAAATACTTTTTCTTTCTTTTTCTTTTTCTTTTTCTTTTTTGGAGCAGGGTAGGTAATTGTATAAATCAGACATAGACCCCATGTCCAGGTAATGATTACTTTGTAGGAATGTAACATTTTTATACATGACTGTATTTTGAAATATTTTGTTTAAGCTGCCTGCTGTTGCTTCTGTCTTTTGTACACTGCTTATTTAAAATAATCAAAATCATATTTCCTAACTCTCAGTTGAGTTTTCTCAAGAAAGCAAAGGATAAAAATACTTCTTTCAAAGCCTCGGCCAATACATTCTTGCCAACTTGATTTGGATTCCAGTGCCTTAAAAAAACACACAACAACAACAACTATTGAGGAAACTTGCAAAAAGAGAGAGAAAAATATTCCATTCTTAAATCAAGTAATTTCAGCCAGACTTGTCTTGTTTTCTGCTTTGTTCTCCGTGTGCATCTTTCTCACAATTTCAAAAAAAAATGGAGCTTTTAATTTTATTCTAAAATTCTTAAAAGAGTAAGATAATTGGCCATGATTCTTTGCCCTCGTTTCAGATTTGGATCTCCCAGTAATTGTGATTACTATATGTCTGTCTGTCTATTCCTTGTTCTCTTCATAGAATCTTTATTTTCCAAACCTGAGGTTGTTCTTTCTATCTTTTTTGTGGGAAGGGGGATGCAGATCATGTTGTAACATACACTAATTTGTGTCATTTTTCATTGTCTTATTATCTATCTCTGTCTCATGTTTCTTTTCCATTTTTATTTGTTGCAGCTTGTTCGTTCCAAAGAGCCAAATTCTACAAGGATGAAGGCCAGCTGTGTTTCTGAAGCACCCAAACTGGAAATGACATGTTTGGCTCTGACTCCAGGTTTCCATTATGTCTCAGGCATTAGGGGAGCTACAGTGATATACTGATTCCATAATTCTGTACTCTTGACAAGCCACCAGTCCAATCAACAAGACAAGGTGCAAACATAATTTTCTCCATTTTCTGAATGTGCAAAAACCACTTATATAATAGTTGTCCCCAGGAAAGGAGCTATTTATTTCTTCTACAGAAACATGCAAGTTTAGGACAGGGTAGCAGAGCCCAACAACCTCAATGCCACCTAGTTGCTACATCCTACGTCTTGTCAACATCCCACACAATCCTCTTGTTGCTGTTTTGTCTCAAACAATAATAAAAGCAAGTCCCAGGTTGGCCATTGCAAATAGCAAATAAGTCTGCACAAATGGTGTCCAACAAAGGAATGAGGGATAAATTTCATTCAGTTCACATTTAAAGGTGAACTTGCTAAATTTGCACTCTTTGAAACAATGTGCAAACTGAAACACAGCAGGGTGCTGTAATCTGCACTTAAGGTAAAGATACCCCTGCCCGAAGGCCAGTCGTGACCGACTCTAGAGTTGTGCGCTCATCTCACTCTAGAGGCCCGGAGCCGCGCCGTCCGAGGACACTTCCGGGTCACGTGGCCAGCGTGACGAAGCTGCTCTGGCGAGCCTGCACCAGAGCAGCACACGGAAACGCCATTTACCTTCCCGCCGGAGCGGTACCTATTTATCTACTTGCACTTGAGGGTGCTTTTGAACTGCTAGGTGGGCAGGAGCTGGGACCGAACGACGGGAGCTCACCCCGCCGCAGGGATTCGAACCGCCAACCATACGATCGGCAAGCCCTAGGCACTGAGGTTTTACCCACAGCGCCACCCGCGTCCCTAATCTGCACTTACCGTATTTTAATTTTGCAGTGAAGTCAAGCTATGTATATTTATTATTTTCATTGCCATGATCCTACACAATGTTGAAGGGAAACTCCCCACCGGAGCAGAAATCATATATTGAACAGATGGAAAGCTCTTTAACTTGGACAGGCTGGAAGCAAAGAGTAAGGTTACCATAACTTCCGTGATAGAGCTTCAATATGCTGCTGACAACGTAGTGTGTGCACACTCAGAGGATGATCTCCAAACCACCATAAATATCTTCATAGAAGCTTTCAGAAAGCTTGGCCTATTGCTCAACGTCCAAAAAACAAAAACAAAACCAAAAACCAAAGTGCTGTACTAAAAGCGCAAAACAACCCCTTTGCAGCACCACAAATCCAACTCAGTGGTGTAACGTTGGAAAGTGTTGATCACTTCTCCTACTTTGGCAGTTATCTTTCCACAAGAGTCGACAAGGATGCAGAAATCCAGCATTGCCTGAGCTCTGCGGGTTCAGCTTTCTCCCGATTGCAGTGCAGAGTGTTTGAGGACCAAGACATTCGCAGGGAAACCAAAATGCTTGTTTACAAAGCTATTGTACTACCAACCTTACTGTATGCTTGTGAAACATGGACCACTTATAAACACCATATCCAACTCCTTGAAAGATTCCATCCATGGTGTTTCTGAAAAAAAATTACATATCACTTTGGAAGATAGGCAAACAATGTCAGTGTACTGGAAAAAGCAAAGATCACCAGTGTTGAAGCAATGATTCTTCAACATCAGCTTCATTGGACATGTTGTTTGGATGCCTCATGATCGTCTTCCAAAGCAACTACTCTATTCCCAACTTAAAAATGGAAAGCATAATGCTGGTGGTCAATAAAAGAGGTTTAAAGACTCTCAAATTAAATCCTAAGGAAAAAAAGTAGTTTAAACACCAACAACTTGGAAACACTGGCCTATGAGCTTTCCAATTGGAGAACAGCCTTTACCAAAGATGTCATGGACTTTGAAGATGCTCAAACTCAGGACAAAAGGGATAAATGTTTTAAAAGGAAGGCACACTTGGCAAACCCTCACCATGTCCAACTCCTGCCCAAAAAACTAGTCCCCAATGTGGAAAGATGTGTGGATCCAGAATTGGCCTCCACAGTCACTTACGAACTCACTGTTAAGACTGTCTTCATGGAAGACAATCTTACTCAGCTACTCATGATTGCCAATGAAGAAGAAGCAATATAGCAGTGTAAAGTGTTTCTAGAAATGCATATATTTGTGAAAATAACATACTAATATGCATATATTGTGGGGAAATGATTTGCGAATATGTGTAGATTAAGAAAAATCACATAGAAAAATGTGTGTATTATGATAAATTTGCACTAAAATGCTAATAAATTTTCATAAGGACCCTTTAAAAAAATGCAAACTGGTGTAGGGATGAATTTAAGATTGGGGGGAAATGAGAAATAGAGAGAAACCAAAACTGACGTGTTTGCTCATCCCTACCTACCAACCCAGTTCAACTAAGCAGTCCTATATGGCACAAGTCACGCACTGGGATACAAATCTTACAGATATAAGGTACTGTATCATGTTAGCTCAGTGTTCCTGGGGTAAGGTGTCCAGAAAAGGCATACTGACACTATTGACGGGGTTAGAGTGTTGGGTTAGGAGTTGGGAGATCAGGGTTCAAATCTACACACATGAAGCTCACTGTGTGGCCTTGAGCTAGTCACTATCTCCCAACCTAACCTACTTCATAGGTTTTTGAGGATGAAATGCAGAGAGGGAGAACTATATGCACTGCCTTGAGCTCCATGGAGCAAAGCTGGGATATAAATGTAATAATAAATTTTAAAAGAAATAAATTAGTATAAATTACTGGAAATTTCCTGACTCCTTCTCTACCCTACAGCAACCTGCATCCCCCACATCCCAAAAGCCTTAGCTTCTTCTTGGTAGCACAGCTTCTATTTTCAGGTTGGGGAAACTGTTAAGGAAGTATTGTTCAATGGGTATGCTTTGCCTTCAGAAAATAAATAGCAAAAAAGTGATGGACGTGAAGTTTTTTAGTCAAAGGCTAAGAAATCCAATATCAGAAAGATATTGCTTCTTAGTAAGTGAACACATTTTCCCATATCCTTTGACATGCCCCTCTCCTCTCCGTTTTTAATTCCATCCTTCCACAAAGACAGCTCAATAATTTTCTGTTTATATATTTCCATATGAGGTATTGTAATAAACCAAACTGGACCTCTGGAGACCATTGATGTTGCCCCAGATGAAATATATGGGTGGGACCTTTTTCAATTCTAACCAGGGCTTCCAAGTCACCACCTGGTTCATTTCCTGTGATTTTCTCACTCAACACGCCAAAAATAACTTGGCTTGCCCCTTGATATTTTGCATCTTGACAAGGATGCAGAGATCCATTTGCTGTTCTTCTCAGGGAGCAAATGTATTCAGCCAACGCTGCTGAAAAGCTGGCCACTGAAAAGCCAGTGAATTCTTCAGAGAAGCGATGGAGTAATCATGAGAGTACCTTGTGAATGCTCAAGTGAACCCGACCAAACATTTGAAAGCAGATCCACTCACAAGCATATTTTGATCCCAGCCTTTGTGTTTAGGATTTCAGGCAGAATTATTCCCTAGCAAAATTAGTTGTAACAGATATGACAAACCTGTGGCCTGCCAGATGTTGGTGGACTCAACACACATCATCCCAGCCAGGATGCCAATAGTCAAGGTGAGAATTCTTTTCTAATAACATCTGGAATAACAACTTGCTCCCTATCCCTAAGTTAAATTCTACTTAACTGGAAATGTTACGGATCAGACCCGGAGTGTCATGTATATAGCTGCATATAAATATGATTGTATAATTCACAAATGGCTGGGAGTGGGGTTGTAACATTTCAGGGGGCACTTATCTTTGATGGTAGTGTTGTGTTGGATGGCATTTCTCTTGGTACAATGTTAGGCAAACCACTGCTCCAAGAGGGCTTCTAAGGAGAGGAAATGGAGTAGCCATTTCTGTCCCTCAATTTCTTTCAGAACAATACTACATCATGACATGGCATAATTCCTGCAGAATTTAGGGTAAGGAAGATGCAACCATTGGCAACTGCTGAGATGTGCGAAGCCAGCACAGGCTATAAGTAGCATCCCTGATACTTTTAAATCCTCTCTAATACTGTCTCTCCCCCTTCCACTTTTAGGTACACCTCCCCTGCCCTGAAAAAGCTGAGCAAAAAGTCCAATACTCTAACTTTCTGTTCAACCCTAGATAAGATGTACATGTCCCTTCCTCTGGTTTTTGATACTTCCCCCTTTACTTGGCCCTTGGCCCCTTTCTCTGCTTGCACACCAGTACATGTGTCCTCTGCCTTGATGTTCTATCATAACTTTGAAAAACTGGCAGAGAATCTCCTGATCTCCAGGTTTCTTCTTCCTCACAGTCTGGGCTTGGGCTCACTCTATGATTAAAGGGAATGATTCTCTGCTGCTGCTCTGAAGTCCCATTTCAACTTTTTGTCAGTTGGATCTCTGCTGCCTCTTTGATCTGCGGGGACAACTTTGTGGCTGCCTAAAATGATAGATCAGAGGAGGAAATTAATATCAATGCCAGATGCCGACGTACACTGGTGTGCAAGAATTGACACAAGTTTCTCTCTTTGTTAGATGTAAAGAAAGTACTCTTTCTGTGAACGCCGATTGCAGTGAATAACGGCTTGGATATGCAGGAGAAAGACCTGGTGTTCTTTAAAGGCAGAACAATTCTTTCAAGCAAAACGATAACTGCAGAGCGGACAAATGGCTCTTTACCATCAGCCCAGTCTGGAGCTATGTGCTACAAAATTTGGCTAAAAGGGGGAAAATGTTTGAATGGGTGAAACTATTTGGAGAACTTCTTATAAAGTTTGGCTGCAATTACATAACTCTGAGCTCTGATGAAAACAGGGGTGTCCTAAGGAAAAGTGGAAAAGTGTCCTAAGGAAAAGTCCCTGGAAAATAGACTCTTTTGGAGGGGCTGCAGCCCATTCATACAAGGATATCTGCTTGGGAAATGGAACTCTTTTTCCTACCCCATGTGTTCTCCCAACCCTCTGAAGCAGATTGGGGCAGGGGCTCCCCAGGGAAGTACAAGGAGGGTGAGTTCTGTTGGCCAAAGAGAAGTCATGGGATGAGTTTGTTGGATACAACTGTCTGGTGGTGACTTTGTGCAGAGAAAAACAACAATCTACACCTTTATTTAATATGGTTGTGCCCCAGATTTGGTCAAGGTCCAAGACCTGAGCTGATTTGGGCTAATTCAGGGCCATGGTCAAGTCAGGTTGAGTTACTCCTGGACTGTTGTGGGTCACCTTGGGCAGCCCGGTGTGATCTGGGTCGGTGCTGGATTACCAGGTAGTCAGAGTTGGCACCTGCCTATGCCCCCATGCCTTTTAGGGACCCCACAACAACAGATAAAAATAATATTGATTTGATCTTGAAATAAAATTACAAAAAAACATATTAGGGTTTGCAAGGAGGACCCCGAGATTTTGACTGCCTAGGGTTTACTCTGGCACTTAACTGGAGCTCTCAGAGGCTGTAGCATCAGGCAGGCAGGAAGGGGGGGGGCTGTAAAAAAAGATATGCCTATCATGAACCAAGGTTCAAAATAAGCATTATGTTATGTCATTTTTAAATCTTGTGCTTCAGACTCTTTCAGGCTTTTAAAACTAATTTTAAAACCATGGTATAAGAAGAGGATTCTTTATTGTTTCTGCATTGCTGAAAATTGCCCACCCATCTGCTATTTGTCTTGGAGCTAGTAAAGTATAACAATATCCCAGTACTTCTTAGAACAGAGGAAGAAGCAGGTTGATGCTGAGAGACATTGTAGTAGTTAGTCCCTTCCTCAACTAGAAAGCTGGTTGGTTGGATGACCTCTCTTGTCTTTTTACAATAGATGACATTCCAGCTGTGCGAAAGCACACACGTTTTTCCATCTTTCATCCAGGGAAGCAAGAGTTCAAGGACACATTCCAGCCAGGCAAAAGCACTTGAAGAGGAGCAGGGTTGAAGAAGGAGGAGGAGAGACAGGGAATCATGGAGGGCTGCATTCGGCCCCCAGTCTGATGTTCTCCACCTGCAGAGAGCACCATGTGGCCCCTCTAGAGGTTCAGTATGGCTTGTGCAGACACAGGGTCAGTCAAAGGTCCCGAGGAATTCTTACAGAGGCACAGAAACATTTGCATTTGCCAGATGGAGCCGCAACACGGCTGTCCGATTCATCTCAGCATCTTTCCTCCCAACACTCAGCCGTCACCAAATCCCAAAGCAGATCTAAACAGTGGGCATGGCACCGGATAGGAAGGGTAAGCAAAAGTATCCTGGCAGAGCAGCTGCTCAGTTTTGATAATAAGCGAGATCCGGTTATCGTTTCCAGCAGCTCAGCGTGATAATAAGGTGTATTTCTTATCCGCTTTGCTTTCAGCTCAGTTCAAGGTATCTCCTTTTTTTCTGTTGTTGCTGCTGTTGTTTGGGTTCGCTTTATGGTAATTGCTGCTATAATTGTGGTTGGGGGCACAGACTGTCATTACGATTATGACCCCATGATTTTTCTTCTTCTTAATGGTGGTGTTCTTTGGGAGAACGTAAGGACACGACTGTGTTGTGACTTCTCGAGATGCCTTGCTCGGTGAGATTGAAGTAACAATTCGACAAATATTCCTCATGTCCTTTGTAATCACCGGATTGGGATATATATGTGAATGTTTAGATGGCTCCTGCTGCGTGTCCATACATCCTCCGTCTCCCCACTCCCAGTTTTGTAAAAGCTAATGCTACACAAACCCCAGTGGCTTTCTAGTGGGAACAATTGAGGATAATCAGAGTGCATTGAAAGGGTAATTAGTAGAAAGTGCTGATCTGATTACCAGGGATGGGTGCAGATGTCCATGCCTACAAGGAAGCCCAGCCATCTGCATGTGTAACAGCTTCACTGCGATGTGACAGCTTCCCGGTGAAAACAGCACAGCCGAGTGGGAAATAGATGGAACTAAGTTGCTTTTCATTAATTTGTGCCGGAGCTTTCTGGATTATGCTCATAGAAAACGTACAGCTGGAAAAGATTGGGAGTTCTGCAAGCTTGAGCACCGCTGTTGTGTGTAGCGGGGGCTGGCGTTTTAGACTCCAGGCCAGCTCAAAGAACTTTGATAATTGGTTTTCGAAGCGGGATGTCAATAATTTGAGTAAAATAAAGATTGATCCCTGCAGCCACACCACTGGAGGAGTCTGCTGAGAGTCCCCTGTCGGAATAGAACGCTGTGGGGTTCACTGCCAGATATCACAAGGAGGCAGCTGTCCCAGAAGCTCTCCAAAAGTCTGGCTCAGGGCTGAGCCAAAATTGCCCACAAATAGCAATCCCAAACTGGCAGCAAAAACTGGAGGCTTATACGTTGAGCACTTGGTGGGCAGCCATGTGTGGCTGAGAGGCTGCGTTTGGCTTGTGGCATATGGCATCAATAATATAATGGGACCAAAATGCAAACAGACCCTCCACCTTCAGCAGTGTTTCACATGGGGTGGGCTGTGGACGGGGCCCAACTGAAAAGCAAGGCTTGGGGTACCAACTCCTTGAGGCTGCTTTGAAAAGCAAGCCTTCCCTTTTATTTGGCTTCTTGATGACACCACCTAGCCAATGGGATCTGGCAATGTGATAGCATCCTAAAGCCAAATCAAAATAGGGTGTTTTTGTTTTTTGTTCTTGCTATGGCATATTTTGGGGTGGTTGTTTTTTAATGAAAGCTGCAGCATGCTCCAATTCCAGCAATAGTTTTAGAAATTGTCCTACGTAAACCAGAATTCAGGAGGAATGCAGAGCAACAATATAGGAAGCAGAGAAATCTGTTCTTCCTTACTTTTCACTGACTTAACACTTACATGTTAATTGGATTAAATCAAAAACATCAATGATGTGCATTTTGTGGTCTCCCAGATATTGTCAGACTATCACTCCCATCAACCCTGACTGCTGGCCATGGTGACTACAGAAATTCTTTAGAATTTCCTAGGTACAGGAATGAGTTTACTTTGTCATGACAAGGTGGCCAATGGAGGTGGTTTGTCTGCTTTTCTGTCCATTAAAACTATGAACTCAAAGCAGCTCACAACAGTTTCCCCCCACCTCTAAATATTAGTAGTTCTGTCCCCAAGGGGCTCATGATCAATAGATAGATAGATAGATAATCAATAGGGGATGAAATAGCAAAATATATTTTTAGACACATTGCAAACATAAGATTTCTTTTTAAGAAATAAAATAAACCACTGCAGAATACTCAGTCCAAAAGGTCCAAAAAGGATAGTGGGTTGGAGCCATGTCTATTGATTTCAATGGACCTGCTCTGAGTATGGTTAGCATTGGGTCCAAGCCAGTATTCTGATTTTTCAGACAGTTATCTCTTGCACCCCATCAGAAGAGATGTTGAAAAGTATGCTGGGCGTGGTAGATAAAGAGCAAAGTTCAGTCCAGGGTTGGGGGACCTGCAGCCCTCTGGTCCAATCAGCCCCAGTCAGCCCCAACCAGCATCACCAGTGGTCAGAGATGATGCAAACTGCAGTCCAACACATTTGAAGGGCCACAGCTTCCCTGCCTCTACATC